AATATATTTAGTCTGATAAGAACCAGAACTGGTGGAATGTGGCAAAATAAATGGTCCACTGTTACAGTCCTATTTTGCACAAGCTTTGAAGCCTTTCAGCCATTGACTTCCATTCGACTACAACAGCGTTTGGAGTAGACCTTCATAATTTATGAAAGTCATTGAAAATTTTTAAATATGCATATCTCGAAATATATATTGTAATTGTTTTCAATAAGACGGCACGGTGGCTCAGTGGTAAGCACTGTAAGGAGAAGGTCATTGGTTTCGAATCTCAGCTGGGCGAGTTGGCATTACTGTGTAAAGTTTGCACGTTCTCCCTGTGTTCGCATAGTTTTCCTCCACAGACCAAAAACATGGGGTATAGGCAGGGCCAGACGGAATCTGCAGACATGTTTTGCTATTTCTGCGAAGAATTTTGGTAAAAATCTGCGGATTTCTGCGGAATTATTTTGGGAGTATCCAGCGAAGTATCATAACTATAACCTTAATATATTAAATAAAAAGTAATAAATTACTGAATAAAAACTGAATAAATTCAGATTTACACATTTACTCAAATAAATAAACAGAATTAATAATGAGCTAAAAATCTGCAGAAATCTGAGGAATTCTGTGGAAAATCTGTGGAAAATCTGCGGAATTCTGCGCGCGCAGATTCCGTGTGTGCCTAGCTATAGGTGAACTATATAATTGACTCTAGCATATATGAGTGTGTGTGAATAAGAGAGTGTGTGGGTCTTTCCTAGCACTGGGGGTTCACGAGTTAGTGTACTCTCAGTGTTGGGTTGCGGCTGGAAGGGTATCACATATAAAAACATATGCCAGAGTAATTGGTGGTTCAGTCGCCAAAGTAATTGGTGGTTCATTCCACTGTGGCGACCCCAATTAAACCTGGAACTAAACCGAAAGTGATCTAGTTAATGCTTCCTATAAATAAGTGCTTGAATACAAGAGTATTTTTGCATGGCTGCCACTGACACACACTTTGAAAGACTTTTCAGCACATCAGGTAATGTAGTTACATGTCAATACACATCTCGGAAAACCAAGGAGAGTATACATGCTGTTTTTTTGTTTTAAATCTGTAACTATTTTAGTATAGATGATGAAATATTATACAACTAAGCAATCAAGCCATGTTAATAAAGACAAAAAAGAAGTAACTCCACTTATTTAGAAGTGTTTTTGTTTTTTTCGTGTTGTTAGTTTGATAAAACTAGAGGACCAAAGAAGGACTTGTAGTGATACATAATTTTCCTTGAAATAATATCAAACATATCATATTGAAAATCGGATATTACATTATCTAGCATGCTATCCCCCAATATCGCACAACTCTGGTTTGGAGTTCTGAAACTTACAAGATGTTTTTTCAGCACAATGACCTTTTATTTTGGATTTCTCAGCTCATGGACGCTTTGATATCACATTGTGTATAGGAACGTGGACTGTCAGGCGTGAGGACAGACTGTGGTGGTGTGAGAGTTACAGCAAGGAGAGTCAGCAAGGCATGTGAGGACAAAAGCTATATGTGTACATCTCCCTACAGGCATGAGTGGGCCTCTGAATGTCACTTTATGGTTCTGTCTGATCATTAACCAAAACACACTAACTCAGGCTGGCATTACAGAGAACTGCTCTCATTAGATTAGGAGAAAATCAATGACATAGCATTAATGGCATTTACAGATACATTTATGACCATGCTTTCAGACGAGATGAATAACAGAAATTCAATAACGTTATGGCTGGAAGTCTGTTTTTAGGAAAGAAAAAAGGATAACTGGAGAGATTTAAAAATATAGAACGACATTTAGAGTGACCATGAGGCAGAAAAATCTTTGATAATGAAGAAAAAATGTATAACACAAAAGTACTCTTTCTATTTACTTTGTTTTCATATTTTTTTTAAAGCTTTTTGCTGTTGATTAGAGGTGTAGTGGATCACAACCCACTAGAGGTGTGAACCTACACTAGTCTCAAGGTTCGGTTCGGTTCGGTTACGATTATCATGCCATCAATTCGGTTCAATTCGATATTTCGGTGCATCACGGTGCATTGACGGTGCTTTCCATACACAGTTTTATATTTTCTTCACAGCAGCATTTCTTGTATTAAAATGTATGAATATATTTATATTTATATACTATTTGTAATACAATTTTGTCATTTAATACAAACAGTCAGATATAGAAACTGTAACTTTAAACAAAACGAGCATTTAGCAAATAATATAAACAAATATAAATATCCAGCTCACTTTCTGATCCTTGTCTAGTTCTCTTACACCTCTTTGATTGGTCACACCCTCAAAAAAAAAAAAAACGGTTGCGATTGGCTCTTGCGCGCTGCGTTCTTCACAGATGAGTGATGCTGATAAGTGGCAGGCGGCAGCGGCGATCTCACAGCTGATGTATGATAGACACGGTGGAGAAAACTCTGCAGACACGCGCTCGTTTCTGGATGCAAAAGTAACGCTGTAAAACAGCCGAGAAGAGAAGAAAAGCCACGCCAGGAGGTCAAATGGGCCACTGAGTGTGTGTGTGAGAAAGAGAGAGAGAGAGACAGATACAGAGACAGAGCGAGAGACAGAGCGCGCGCGCGCGAGCAAGAGAGAGAGAAATGAAGTAGGCTACTTTCATTCTCTCGATCTCAGTGAAATAGGGGCTATTGTTGTATTTGTCAGTGAAAGACTGATCCAGCAAACACACACAGTGAAATTGTGCACAGTTAATGAGTTTTAAGTAGTTAAAGCGCTGTAAATACTCGTGATCGCCTCCCTTGCGACAGAGCGCATATGAGGTAAATGACGTCAGTAATAACCGGTTATGATTATTACTGAACCGATACCGAACTGTCCGCGTCTGCATCACAGTGCACCAAAAAAACTATTATTTTTGACACCCTACAACCCACGGTTCGGAACGTGATTCGGAAAATAATACATTTTTTTTTAGCTTTACAACATTTTTTTAAACTTTACTTAATTTGTAACAATTGCAGAGAGACCGCCTCTCGCATTATTCAAATCATATGTGTGAAAGCATTTAGGCTTTCCTGTAAAATGTAATGGTGACAAAAGAAGTGGTGGGTTGTTCAGGATGTGGTGGGTTTCTTAGGTTATTAAAGGTGTTTTCTGTCACTACTTGTTTAGCCTCAATTAATGTATTCAGTGTAAGCTACACGGTTAATCATTGAAAAATCGGGATCTCAACACCCACACAACGTAAATTATAATTGATGGTGATTTGCATATGTTTATTAAGCTTTCAAATCGCTGCATTCAAATCTGTGTTTGAACAATACAAAAAACAAGAAAGCGATTTAGTCGTTAGTATTTTGAGTTAGTTAAGAAGCTACAAACAGTCAAATAACACAGAAGTACTGGCATAACAGTTTATAGTTTAGATAAAACCACTGATGTTTATGGTGAAGAATAAAATCACCGTCATGTGCTGAAAAATGAAAGTTATAGGCAGCAATTACATTATTATCCAAAAGGTGGTGACAATCGGCCATCAAAAATATGCCACTGAATAATTCTTCAAAAATGATCATCTAGCAATGAAACGCGAAGTTTTGAGTGAAAAACTGGATCATTTACTGAAAATAAATTTACACAATATAATGTTTAATTTATACATTTAGTGTTATCAGCAACAGTAGTAGTAAGAGTGAATTTTTCACAGTACTAAATATTTTACAGTTTATTTTTATTCAACTGATTATTTCTTCATTTATTTGTAATAAAATGACAGCTTTTAAGTTCTGTTTGTTAAAACCAAAAGTTGCATGCAGCATTGTTTTAGTAATGAATGTAATATAAATTACATTTGTCTCCTCCCCTTTTTTGGCTCATCTGAAAAATGGTTTGATCCGTGACAACAAAACTATAATGTGAACCGAACAGTGAGATTTGTGATCCGTTACACCACAACTGTTGATAGTGTGAGGGTTGATGCAGAAAATGCTTTTCTTTTATGTTTTAATATTACCAGGAATAAAAGATTGCAGATCAAATAAATAAAATGTAAGTTGCTAAAATGTGATTGTTGCAAAATTGTTTAATTTTTAGTATAAAATGTAAAAATTGTACAAGTTTAAATTAAATTACATTTATTTTACAACAAATAATTAAAGCAGTCCAGAAAAAAAGTATATAAAAGTCAATATATGAAAAGTATATTATGAAAAGTCGACTAAAAAATATAATTATTTGGGCAGAAATCATTATCATTAATTTGTGTTGAAGTGGAAATTAATTGAAATATAAGATATTAGATGAAATATGTATACTATATGAACATTTTATATGCTGCCTTTTTCAAATTGAACTACCAATATTACTGAACCAAAAACTAGTGAATAAAAGCACTACAGATCTTATAAATGAGTAATAATAATAATAATACATAAAAAAATAACAGCACTTATTATTAATTAAATTTCTTTCATTCATTCATTCATTTTCCTTCGGCTTAGTCACTTCATTCATCAGGGGTCGCCACAGCGGATTGAACCGCCAACTTATCCAGCGAATGTTTTACACAGCGGATGCCCTTCCAGCTGCATCACAGTACTGGAAAACATTCATACACACTCATTCACACACACTATGGCCAATTTAGTTTATTGAGTCCACTTATTGTGCATGTGTTTGAACTGTGGGAAAAAAACGAAGCACCTGGAGAAAACCCACAACAACAAGGGGAGAACATGCAAACTCCACACAGAAATGCCAACTGATCCAGCTGGGACTTGAACTAGTGACCTTCTTGCTGTGAGGCGTCAGTGTCAAAAATAAATAAATAAATTTAAAAAAAATTATATATATATATATATATATATATATATATATATATATATATATATATATATATATTTATAAAGTATATTAAATATACTTTAAGCATGGATGACTATTCATAATACAATATTATCCGATTAGAAAACAGACATCATTGACCCACTCAAGTAAAGAAAAGCAATAAACTTACTTTTATGGGAGCAGAGCTGAATTGAATTTTCCGTTTTTGTGGAATATCCTCCTTTTCCTCTTCTGGAAGACCAGGAATCTCCGTAATTTCCGATCCTGGGTCATAGGAAAGGTCATCATCATATAGGTCATCCTCTGGTTCAGTGCAGCTCTCGCCCCAGCCCTGGTAGCAAGCATCTCCATCGGCATTGAAAACAACTCTCTCATTACCACAGTATTCCTCATTGGTTTCTTCAATCTGATCCTCTGTAATCCGCCTAGACTCCTCTTTCACATGACCGTCCGTGTCCTCGTGGACTCTGGTAGCCTCAAGCAAATGTCCTGCAGCGTCATTGACTTCAGCCGGAGTCGAAGAACCATTCAAGGCCTTAGTTGAGTTAATCTCATCCTTAAGCTGCAGTTCACCGGATTCTTCAATCATCTCCTGACTCTTCTTCTCATCAGTTTTCGCCTCCGATAGAGGACTAGGACTGAGAAGATCTTCCGAAGATGAAGAAACCGGAAGATTGTGCTTGCTGCCCACTCGCGTCCTGTAAAAACCACTTGACGGAGACTGTCGAGCACTGGTGTCATCCTCACTGGCCTCCCCGTGTTTCTGTAAGCCATCAGGAGAGTACAACCCTCGTCCACTTCCATGGCTTCTTCTGAAGGTAGCGCCGGAGCCCTGCTGGTCTATATTTTCAAACACAGCGCTGAGTTGGCTCACAGTGGGAGAAGAAGCCTCCGTCCTGGAGCAAAGACTGTCCAAAGAGTCTGTGCTGCCTCTGTTTGAACGCGCTCCCCTCCAGTCGTCCAGATGCTCATGAGAACCTCTTTTATCCCGACCATAGGAGTACACCGGCGACTGTGAGGCGTCTCTGGAGCTCTGCTCGAAAAGTTTCCTTGTTTCAGAGAACTTCGAGTTGTGATGGCCACCGGACGTCCGCTCTCCAGTGCCTTGCTGGAACTTGACCACCGAGCCGTCTGTTCTGTTGATGAAGTTTGTCGGCTTGTTGAGTTTCTGTGGGGAAGTCTCGTCCCTGGCTTGTCGGTTTGACCCGGTGCTTTCTGTCCCCATTTGCATAAACATATTTTTAATGCGACTGACGTGGGCTCCGTATTGACGCCCTCGAGGCTGTCGGACCCCCTCGGGGTCTTTGTGTTTGTGGTCTCCATCCTGCCTCGGTTGATCGAACGCCTTCTTTAGCGCCTGGAACTCAGCCCGGTAGGCGTTTCTGTGCGGGGACGCGCTCCTCAGGGTGTTCCTCTCTGCCGAGGCCTCCGTCTTCATCATCTTAGCCTCGACAATGGAGGGCTTCTCAAAGATACATCAGCATTCCTTCAGGCTGTTCCTCCTTGGGTGCAATCACATTTTGTTGGGGATTCCTGAAAACGTTTGAAAAGGTTATGAGTGGCTTATTTGTTACAGATTGTACAATCATTAATTGCTTTAGCAAAGTTGGCAAGCATATATTGTAAAGAATTAAGCATTTGGTGAAGAAGTGACCCTAGTAAGCCAATGTACTAAATAGACTAGAGCTGGGCTGATAATTTATATCATATTGAACAGCGATAAAATCTATGTTGATAACTATGATAAGCTCTAAACATTTTTACTCGAAATGAATCCTAAGTGCCTATCACACATCAGAAATATGCAACAACAATCTATAATTGTGTTAATATTAGAGATTCACCAAATTTTTGGCCGCTGAAAATTACTGGCCGAAAATAGGTCATGCTGCATCACCCAGTACTGTTAATAGCACTCATTTCACTTTCCCACCAACAGTTCACTTTACCGCCAGCAGTATCCACCTTCAATCATGGTTGGGATACTCTTTAAAAAAGTGGAAGCATAAAAAACTTATATTGAAAAGTAGATCGTTATCGTTTAGTGTAGAAAAGAATTATAGAGATTGCACTTTTGCCATATCGCCCTGCTCTTATATAGACCCTATTGTTGGGTCTAAAGAATCAAGATATAATGTAATACAGCTTCAATTTTTTTTCACACATTGGAATGTTTCCTGTTTATTTCATTTTTATGAGAAAAACATAATGACCATCTCAAATTTTTACCATGATATAAAGAACATATCATCTAAAAATATCATTCAGTGTGTCAATAGTTTATAGTATATACCAACAATTTTTACAACAACAATCATTGGATGACAAATTAATTGATATCTGAAATATAACAATGTTGAATTTTTACAAAATATATTTGTTATGCTAAATGTAATGAAACTTTATTTCAATTATATTTTATTTTCACATACAGGTATATATCTTTGCACAAAGAGTAGATGCGGACACAAAAATCAAACATCTTGTCGTAATAAATAATGACCATTCAAAAGATTAGGGTCTGGAGAGTTTATCTTCTATAGACCATTTTGAGGGATGTAAACAAAAACAATGGTACCAACGTATTACCTGTTTTACATTCTTAATCTAGCTTCTAACAATCCAAAAAGACAAATTGATAAATAATGTTATGATAGCTGTTTTAACATTATGTTGTGATTGAATTGCCTCTTGTTACAGTTATTAAATAGTTCGATAATAAGCCAATGACATGACCACAATGACCACATTAAAATGATCTATAAACTTTCTTTCAACACAACTACAGTATAGCAAAGCCAATGAAAGGCAGTCCTGCAACCATTAGCCTAAAAAGTATAATTGCTAATGCTAACGCTGCATCTATGGTGCTACAAAGGGAAGGAGACCATTATGTGGTTGGCTAAGAGATGATTAATGTGTCTAATTGGAGTTGGAGATAAACTTTGCAAGACATCGACCCTCCAGAACTGAGTGTGGGCACTCCTGAGTTAGAGGTACTATGGCACGACTTAAAGAGACAGTTCAGCCAAAAATTAAAATTCACTCACCATTAACTCACCCTCAAGTTTTTTAATCATAACATTTTTCAAACAGAAAAGAAGGATTTTGAAGGATTTGGAAAACCATTCCCAGCAGGCACACAACGTCATATGATGTTAATATTGGGTTAGATTTAGGTTGTAATGTCGGGTGACCAAAATTCAATGTCTAGCCAGCATCTAAGGACAACGTTATTTTGACGTCCAATAATGATATCAAATGACGTTGATATTTGGTTGACTAGGTTGTGTTGGAAGGTGTTAAAAATCCAACATTTAGCCAACATCTAAAACCTCTCTGTTATAATAGTTGGGTTAAAAATACCCCAACATATAACCCAACTATAGGTTATTATAGCACCTTCCCAACTATGAGTTATTTTAACCCAATGCATTAGGTTATAAAATTTGACCCAATGCATTGGGTTATAAAGTATAACCAATGCATTGGGTTATTTTGATTAAATGTTATGTTTCCATTCTGGTATTACTATTGAAGCACTACTATTATTTTAGAATTATGGCTGTGTAAATAAATAAATGTCTTTGCTGGGTCCTAAAGGCAAAATTGACCGCCGAATATCCCAAATATGTGTATAATTTTCTCAAAAAAAAAAATTTTTGAGATAAACACGGGAGGTAGAGAAAGAGTTTTATCGGCCATGAAGCACGCGTTTGTATCATCAATAATTAAGAGTGCTGGTGAAACGAATAGAAAAAACACGACAAGGTAATTTGATTAAAAAAATAACAACATTATTACGTTAGAGCTTAAATAAATTTTACAACGCAAAAACAACATTACGTATGCATATTAATGCAGCTGTTCTGTGTCAGTTAAATCAGTTGACTGTTGAAATTCAAAATGTTAACCCAACTGGTTGAGCTAAAACCTAATAAAGGTTAAAAATAACTCAACAACGCACCAAATTAGTTTAACTCAATTATTGGGTTGAAGAAATAACTCAACGTTTTTTTGAGTGCAACGTCATGATGTCAAATACTGACATTTATTAGTCAGGTATGGCAATCAAAATCCAACTTCTGATAGACGTTATAGTGGTAACGTCCACACAACGTCAAGCTGTAACATCATTAGACACTGATATTTGGTTAATCTCAGGTTAGACTTTGTATTTTGACGTCAGCCTGATGTTTGATTCTGATGTCAATCTAATTTTCATTTCCAAACAAAATGCAACGTCACATGATGTTGGGGTAAAACGTCAAAATGATATCATGTTGATATCCTGTGCTTGCTAGGTTGACGTCAACTGTAGGAAATAAATATCATGGAAATCAATGGCTACTATTAATTTCCAACATTTATCAAAGTATATTCTTTTGTTTTGTGTTCAGCAGAACGGAGAAAGTCGAACAGGTTTGTAACAAGTTAAGGGTGAGTAATTTAGTGAAGTTTATTTATAAACTAATTTCGAGAGGATCACGTGCTTATGATTGCTTGCAGCCGACCCTGCGTTATTCAATTTATGATTCACCAATTAGACGATTCCTAAGCCACTATAAATACCCTAAGTTCAATATAACAGCCATCTTAGTTTTGAAGAATGTCACTGGTTCTAGTCCTTACAAAGCCAGCAGACGTTTCTGTGCGGAGTTTACACGTTTTCCCCGTGCTCACATGGGTTTCACCCCGGGTTCCCCGGTTTCCTCTCACTATCCAAAAACGTGCAACTTAAGTTAATTGACTAATTCAAATCGGCATCATAGACATGCTCCTAGTAAGTAGTTAGCTTAGAGCAATCACTATCTGTTCATTAGCTACTACAGCAGGGGAGTTCTCAAGATCTACCAGAGCTCAAACTCCCCTCTAGCCTTGCAAACACGAGGGAGCCCCGGGCTCGAGAATCTTATGAGCTCAGGTATCTCTCCCGGGACAGCATGTCAAACAAGCTTTATAATCAATCATCAGCTAAGTGTGAACTCTTGAATTATAACATTTTAATTTGAGGTGAAATATTCCCTTCAAAATCCACACTGAGAACATCAGGATGTTGTTAAATGGAAATGCAGACACTCAACTTATTTAGGTGATACACGCTTATTTGCACAGGCGAGCAATGCATAGGCTATGCTATGTTTATGACAAAACATAACACTTTTTTCATCTCTGCTCAAATACATCAAAAACATGTTAAACTTAAATTTGAACAGGCTTGAAGGCTCACTTCCCCAAACATAATATCCTAATGAACAGCAGCAGGGCAGATGAAAACAACACACCCCTAAAGCTGCAACTCCGCACATCAGTTTGTAAACACAACACCTGAAAAAGGGTCGGAGGACGCTGGAGGATGCCTTTGCATTATCTCCAGGAGTCCACCGCCCTGGTTCTCCAGCATTATGCGCGGTCATCACTTTGCCACAAGGGCCGACGAAGCACTCAATTTCAGCGCGATGTTGTTAATGCACCGATGTTTTCGACGCAGATCTCGATATGACTCACTGATTAGATTCGTCTTCCATCACTCGCCGTGAACACCGCAGACAGCAGCTGCATTACAGGCTACAGGAATGCGTTTAAAATCAACCCCGCATCTCAGAAATGAATATTTAATAACGATAATAACAGCGAAGGAAGACAGATGAGCCCAAACGCAAGGGCAAAATACATCGGCGCGCGCGACCTGCATGATGCAAAACAGTTGCTATTGGTTAGATAACGGTTCATATTTAAACCTCACAGCACGGATAACGTAAATAAACGTGCAAAAATAACGGTAAACGTGAAACTGTTCGTGTCTATACATCGCCCGCATCACTGACAGCTCCATCCTACAAACCCAGCATCCATAAACACTCCAAAATACACACTTACTTCATTCAGAAGAGTGTATCTAGCCAAAGCTAGCAAAACGTCGTACACAAACATAAAGCAGAAGTGACACAAGTATTGCTTAAACTCGCATGTTGTTGCTCCAAAAAAGAGTCACTTACCTACGCCTTCTTCTTGTTGTTGTAATCTAAATATATGTTATATTAGATATAAATATATCCTCGCTTTAAATGGTTTAGTGAAGGGGAATGACATTGAGCAGCATTTTGATTCAGCTCAGCTACTGGCATCAAGCTGCCATGCAGGACTTTACCAGACAATTGACACAATATGACATACAAGCCGGGCTTTACGCACACACATACACACACGCACACACACACACATACAAACGCGAGCGCGCAGCGAGACAACGCCATTGCAGGCGAGGGGTGATTCCGCCATACCCTTACTAGGGGGTGTTGATACATAACAAAATACTGAGTTAAATTATAACTTTAATCGAAGTCATTTCCGTATTTTCTCATGTTTTAGCAGTAGCTAGCAAGGTTACTTTAGTATATGCTGTTTTCGTGAACGCTTCGCTAATGTGACAGGTGTTTAACCTTTTTTTGGCGAATGGTTCGGTCCAGTAATCTGTATAGAGGAGGAACGAGCGAACTGCAGTCTGGCAGAGGGAGAGAAAGTAATTAAAA